CCGCAGACGTCGAAACCGGTCGACCCGGAGCGGGTGAAGCTGAGGATGGAGAGCTCCGAGGGGCGGAACCGGGTTCCTCTGGCCCGGGTGGTGTCGGACTGCGTGCGGCGGTGGTTTCAGGACACGCTCAAGGAGGCAAAGGCGGGCGATAGCTCCATGCAGGTGTTGGTGGGTCAGATGTATTGCAGCGGCTATGGTGTTCCCAAAGACCCCAAAAAGGTCCTTTCACTATCTTATTTTTTTTGCCTGTTAAATTTGCGACTTTGTTGTACATTTTTGTAATTCAATTTATTAAATTTTACTTAATTTTTAACTTAATCTTTAATTTGGGCATCGAAAAAACTCAGTTAGGGTTGAGTTAACTGTTAAGCATAATTAGAGTGAGGATTATTGTTAAATACTATTGCGTCAGTTTACGAAACTCCAAATCAGAAATGTATGGTTCTGTTATTCGCTGGTGTTATTGACATTGCTACAAATGACGAAAGCATTCATGCATGTGTTCTTCGTGCCTCACTAGGACGTGAACGCTGGCTTGTTTTCGCCTTCTGTTAATCTTGCAGTTGTTTCCGCCGTCTGAACTTTGTGAGTTGTGCACTTAATCAGGGACATGCTTGGATGAATAAAGCTTCGAAAAGTAGAGCTTCGGTTTGGAAAGTGAGCGATAAGCCTCCAGGTACTATCTCTCGCTCCTCTGTCTTTCAGTGTCTGGACACCGTTTTGGTAGTGACCTTATACGTTGTAATTGTTTCCGTGGTGGTCTCGATTAGGTTACAATGCAAGTGACTCTAACTCGGATGAATTGAAAGACGACACGAAGTAAGGCCAATGTGCTCTCTCATTTTTGAGTTCACTTCTGGGTTTGATTAATTTTCTTCCATTCCCACTGTTATTGGTATGACTATGCAGTTTAGTTTTCAATGCGATCTTCTTGCATTTCTTAGTAATGGAAGGGTTTATATTCACTGTTTCTTCATTCTCTACCTTCTTTGAGATAAGTTTTGAGATTTCATGATTGTTTTAACTTCTACGTGTCTTGGATTCTTTGACCTAAAAGAAATCAATCTTTTGTGCTAAAATTATCACGCATTTTTCATGATTGGTGTAAGAAAGTGAAAGACATGGACTTATCAACATCACAAATGTTTCATGGTTATTATACTGGACGAAAAAGAAAACATATGAGCTTAGTGTTTATTATAAGTTAAAACAGATGAGTGTTACTTCCTAATTCACCATCGACAACAATCAGTTGAATTGAGGTAGAGATATTGGAGTAAATTTAATTTAAGAGTTTTAATGGGAAATCAGTCACAAATGAACTTCATCAACCATCTTCGCCTAGCCAATCGCCAAGTCAATGGAGGGCTCATCTCCCAGTCCGGTTTGTTCCTAACATTGGCGACCCTAGTTTGCGGTTGGATGATCCTCTTGTAGGACTGCTTAAACTGTAATGAGTTCTCTTGATCTCAGTTCGATTGGTTCTTTTCTTTTAATGAAATTTAATCGATTATCTTCAAAAAAAACTTTATCGATTTTCTTAAAAAAAATCTGTGTTGACCATAATGTAGATGACTTGTTGGTTATTCATGTGCTTGCTCTGGAGTTTATGTTTTGGGATTTCGTTCTTTATCTAAAAAGATGGTTCGAAGTTTAGAAATGGGTTGGAACTCTAAAATGTATTAAAATATGTCAGTATAAGGTTATTATCATGTATGGTCTCAGTTCACTAAACTCTAAAAATCATGAGATGCAGGATTCTATTTTTCTGTAGTGACAAGAAAACATATGAACTTACGGTGACCAAGTAAAGATATATGCATGTATGCATACTTTCCAAAAGAAACAATATTGGCCCCATGATTCAAAATAAAATCCTGCAGATAGGTAACAGAGAATATTGGCCCCAAATCATTTGCCTTCACGCTTATCCTTTCTCCAATCCCATGGCTTCTCAGGGTTTGATGAAGCCCACAACCCAACTCGCTTGGCCCGAGCCTGCTTTTGCCACTATTATGATTGATACATGTGAAAATCAAATGTACATATTGTGAGAATTTATTGTGTGAGTATTATCAAGCATCAAATGATGCACTAATATAATTATCATGAGTTGTATTTAAGTTGGACTCACTTAAGTTTTTGTAACTGGAGTAAAACCAACTTGGAGGAAACTTAATTATTTCAATTAAGTTTGTAATAGAGTAGTTATAATTTTGAACAATAACTGATGACAACCACTTCCTTAATGGGGGGAAGCGGTTGCCATGATATATAGAATCAGGATTGGTCCCTCTTCTCGGTATGTTGGTGGTTCAGTTTATTTGGTAAAATGATTTCATTAATTCAAGAGAATAAAGTTACACTTTGAGTATATATATACAAGTATCTTGTAACCACTAAGGTAAGCAAAATACAACAAACTACAACTAACTAACAGATTTCTTAATCACTAAGTAATATCTCTAGATGGTATAGTTACAATATTGCCCTGTATATCCCCCCTTAAACGAAACTGGGGAACTCGAAGTTGAAGTTTGTCATGAAGAAGATGAAATCTGGATTTTGACAGAGACTTTGTGCAAATGTCAACTACCTGATGTTGTGTACAAACAAAGTGCACAGAAATATGTTTTGCCAAGATTTTCTCTCGAATATAATGATAGTCTATTTTTACATGCTTGGTCTGAGCATGAAAAATAGGATTCTTGGCAAGAGATATGGCAGAAATATTATCACACCAGAGTTGGGGAGAAATAGGCAAACGATAACCAATGTCTACTAACAACTGACAAATCCAAGTGATTTCAGATGCAGTGTTGGCAAGAGATCGATACTCTGCCTCTGTTGAAGATTGAACAACAGTTGGTTGCATCTTAGCACTCCAACTGATCAAGGAATTTCCTAGAAAAGCACAATAGCCTTCAGTTGATCTTCGATCAAGGGCATAGCTAGCCCAATCGGCATCTAAGAATGCAGTGATGGTGGGATTTGTAGAACACTTGGAAAACCATAGGCCAAGATCAATAGAGCCCTTAATATACCTTATAATTCTCTTTACAGCCTGAAAATGGGAAATTCTGGGTTGATGCATGTATTGACAGACAAGATTTACTGTAAAATTGAGATCTGGTCTTGTTTATGTAAGATATTGGAGTGCACTAACCAAGAATCGATACTTAGAGACATTGTCACACAAAGGAGATTCATGATTAAGTTTAGAGGTGCTAAGTGGTGTACTACAGGGTTTTGCACCAGTCATGTTAGCTTTTGATAACAGATCCATGACATACTTTGTCTGAGAGATGAAAAAGCCTTAGGAAGATCTTTTGACTTCAAGGCCAAGGAAGTAATGAAAAGGGCCGAGATCCTTGATTGGAAACATAGAGCTGAGCTGTTAAATAACTTTGCTACATTCAGCAGAGTTTGGTCCAGTTACTAAAATGTCATCAACATATACAAGAATGAAAACCACAGCAGAGTTTGGAGCCCTTTTAATGAACAAAGAATGATCACTGTGAGATCCTTTAAAACCAAGAGATTGAAGACCACCATGAAGTTTCTTATACCAAGCTCTTGGAGCTTTTTTTAAACCATATAATGATTTGTGCAAGTTGTAGACATGAGATGGCTTTGTGGGATATTTAAAGCCGGGAGGCTGATGTATGAAAACTGATTTAGTGGGTGTCCCATGTAAGAAGGCATTGCTAACATCGAGTTGATTTAAAAACCAATCATATTGAGTTACGAGGGTAAGGAGAAGTCTAATAGTAACCGGTTTAGCTACCGGACCGAAGGTTTCTGTGCAATCTAAACATTCTTGTTGATTGAAATCCTTGGCCACGAGCCGAGCCTTGTACATGTCGATAGTGCCATTAGGCTTTCTTTTGATTCTGAAAACCCACTTGTAGCCTACAATGTTCTGGGATAGAGATTTAGGGATAAGAGACCATGTGCCGGTGTTGATAAGGGCATTGACTTCTTCTTGCATTGCTTGGCGCCAATGAGAATATTTTGAGGCTTGAAGATATGTGTTAGGTATATAATCAAAGGATAGATGAGATGGTAAATGGTGTTTAGTGGCAGTGAGGGCTTTAGGCTTGAAGATGCCAGATTTGGACCTTGTTTGCATGGGATGAGTATTAAGAGGTGGAATGGGCTTTAGGCTTTAGGCTTGAAGATGCCGAACTCTAAATCTCACTTGAGAGTATCCAATCATAAACTAACTCGGCATGCAATGTGCCGAACTTAATAAACTGTAACACCCTCACTTCACCGAGAAAGCTAATGAGATGACATCAACCAATAAGGATTCGAAAATCCTTCTCGACCGAGACTTGGATAAATAACCAGTCACCCTCGACGCAGTGCTATCTATGCCGACTAAAGATGCTGCGAGACCAGCTGGTTCTACGGTGACAGTGTTATCTATGCCGACTGAAGATATCACCGGTTGCCTTCACAGTACTGTTTATCCAAACTGAAGGTGTGTCGGCAAAAAAAGAAAAGGAAAAAGTCTCAAGGTTGTTGAGAGAATTTGCGTATGGCAGTTGTGTGTTGAATTGGAGGGGATTGTTTTGATGTCTTATCTCTCTATTTATAGCGGCCAACCTGCATTGAATCCCAATCCCTCTCGGAGTAAAACTCTTTTATCTCGGCCAATCCTATTTCCAATAGGACTTTGAACGTAACTTGTTATCAAACCTTATTCAATCTTATTATCCTGATCCCGTCATAACGCCTTTTCAAAACAGGATTCGTCTACATTCCAACTTCCCATATGATATGGCCAAAATTAACCGTGCAGCCCATGGACTAAATATCAATAACACATGTACACGACTTCTGAACCGAGAACGAATCTAAACTCGACCTATCCGATACTGGGCCTAAAAAGTCTAAGCTCGGCCCAAAACAATATTTTTTGGGCCTAAACACCATGATGATGAGAAAATATGTCGCGATGGACGAGACCCTTAGGTCGGCTCTCCCAACTATAACTGCATCACAGGTTATATCGAGTTCCCCTGTGGTTGGTTGTTTACTAACCGAGCTCAGGCTAATGAACACGGACCTTGGCCGCCTGGCCCTCTCTGTAACAATGTTTTCCGATGTTATGGGCAGATGTATGGTTGGGGTGGCCATGGACTTATGAAATCCAGATAAGAAATCAAACCCATTAAACCCAAAAGCAAATTACTTTCTTTGATTGATTTCACTGATGGGAAAGGCACTCCCTTCACGGACCCGGTTCCAAGATTTGACCCGAATCATCGCCGCCGACAAGCTCCCGCGGCCCAGACGCGTAAAGCAAGCGTCCCAAGTTCGAATTTCGTCCCCGCAGCCGAAACCGGTCGACCCGGAGCGGGTGAAGCTGAGGATAGAGAGCTCCGAGCGGCAGAACCGGGTTCCTCTGGCCCGGAAGGTGTCGGACTGCGTGCGGCGGTGGTTTCAGGACACGCTCAAGGAGGCAAGGGCGGGCGATAGCTCCATGCAGGTGTTGGTGGGTCAGATGTATTGCAGCGGCTATGGTGTTCCTAAAGACCCCAGAAAGGTCCTTTCACTATCTTATTTTTTTGGAAGTGTTAACGAAAAGACACGGTATTTTTCATTTTAACAAAAAAACCACAATTTTACATTAAAAAATCAAACGTGTACTATTCACTTCACCTTTTATTTTGTCGTTAAAACTCAAAATTTTCAAGGAATTTTCATTAATTTTCCTTATTATTTTTGCCTGTTAAATTTGCGACTTTGTTGTACATTTTGTAATTCAATTTATTAAATTTTACTTAATTTTTAACTTAATCTTTAATTTGGGCATCGAAAAACTCAGTTAGGGTTGAGTTAACTGTTAAGCATAATTAGAGTGAGGATTATTGTTAAATACTATTGCGTCAGTTTACGAAACTCCAAATCAGAAATGTATGGTTCTGTTATTCGCTGGTGTTATTGACATTGCTACAAATGACGAAAGCATTCATGCATGTGTTCTTCGTGCCTCACTAGGACGTGAACGCTGGCTTGTTTTCGCCTTCTGTTAATCTTGCAGTTGTTTCCGCCGTCTGAACTTTGTGAGTTGTGCACTTAATCAGGGACATGCTTGGATGAATAAAGCTTCGAAAAGTAGAGCTTCGGTTTGGAAAGTGAGCGATAAGCCTCCAGGTACTATCTCTCGCTCCTCTGTCTTTCAGTGTCTGGACACCGTTTTGGTAGTGACCTTATACGTTGTAATTGTTTCCGTGGTGGTCTCGATTAGGTTACAATGCAAGTGACTCTAACTCGGATGAATTGAAAGACGACACGAAGTAAGGCCGAATGTTCTTTCTCATTTTTGAGTTCACTTCTGGGTTTGATTAATTTTCTTCCATTCCGACTGTTATTGGAGAAACTTTGCAGATGAGTTTTCGATGCGATCTTCTTGCATTTCTTAGTAATGGAAGGGTTCGTATTTACTGTCTCTTCATTCTCTACCGTCTTTCAGAACCTTCCTCTGCTCCTTAATTCTGTTTTTGTTGTTTGAGATGAGTGTTGATAGTTCATGATTGTTTTACCCGTCTTGGATTAACATATGAGCTTAGTGTTTATAACAGCGAGCTAAAACAAATGAGTGTTTACTTTCCAATTCACCATCGACTAAGTTATGAGCTAAAACAACTGAACTCTTATCAACCATCTTCGCCAAGCGTTGGTCGCCAAGCCAATGGAGGGCTCATCTCCCAGTCCGGTTTGTTCTTAACATTGGCGACCCTAGTTTGCGGTTTTCTAGAGTAGTGCATATAGCTGATAGAGAACAGCACTAATATTACAAACGAAACAATGTTTGTACATCCGCTAGACAGATACATCTCGATAGTACATCATTTGCCTTCACGCCGATCCCTTCTCCAGTCCCATGGCTTCTCAGGGTTTGATGAAGCCCACAACCCAACTCGCTTCGCCCGAGCCTTTCCTTCCCACTATTATGATTGATGCATGTGAAAATCAAACGTAGATACATGAGTCGAAATGTTGAAAATAATTAACTTTCCAACTTGCTAGAATTGTGCTGTTTTACTCTCTACTAATCACTTGATCAAATAAGATAACATAATTAGCAGTATGTTTTTACTCACTGTTGCAAATTCTGGGCGTTGGTCGTAGGCTGTGTAATGCCATGCACACCCCTTCTTGAGCATTACTTCCTGGATGAGATTGTAAACGGAGATCAAGACTTATTGGTATTACATACAAGACAGGTATTGACGTTGGCTGCCATATAATACCTGTACAAATACGTCGTTGCAGTATACGTCACCTACACAGCGCCCGTAACGATCTTCCCCATAGATAAGAACCCTCAAACGCTTGCCCTGAATAAGCTTAACCAGCTCCTGTTTGGCTTCTTCTCCATAGGGCATTTCACCCTCAGGTGCATCTATACCCCTGTTTTCTCCTAGAATCGATTAACTTTCATTGGTAGAATATGTTGCAGCTAGTACGAATCATACAAGCAGATGATTTTACCTCAGACGGATCCTATACTTTCGGGCAAGGACCTCCTCGTTTTGAATATTCAGTACCCTGAATGGAGGGGGAAAACGCAATTAGAAACCTTTTGTGTGTTCAAAATGATTAATTATGCAAAATTTATGCAAGTGGCGTATGAATATCCAACCCGTATCCAGCAGCAATGATTTTCTTGCGAAGTGCATCTGCCTTTGTATAGTCCCTCACGGCGCGAGCTTCCGATCTTTGAATGGCAGCTGTTTGCACATCGGTTGGAACAAAGGACGACTCCCTCGGATCCTCTGTGCTGACGTAGACTGTCAACGAATCGCCATCTTGAATCGCTTTTCCATCAACCTGGTTTCATCCAAAATGATTCACCTATCAAAACTCAGAACTAGTTTGCAGGCACTTGGCAGTGGTGAAAACTGAAAATAAGTACTTTGAGAGCAAAAAGTTTCTATTACCGGCAGCGTCTGGAACTCATACTTTACTCCTTGAGGCAACGAAGTTGGGGCCTCAGCAGAAAGACCGACCAGAGTATGTGGAAGAGGAAGGCCGTAGAAAGCCAATAAACCCTACAGATAAACAATCACAGAAGAATATATACGTTACAATATTTCATCACAGTTGTGAGAAACATGTAACAGTCGGAATTTTGTGGCAATGTACCTCAACATCCGGCCTTTGGTGTTGTTTCAGGGTTTGTATAACAAGCCTAGCCGCTTCTTCGGGTGTTCTTGGTGGCGGTTTGGCTTCCCTCCATGCGACAACTAGTTTTCTATACCTTTACACAGTTAGGAAATTTGAAGAAATCAAGTTCAGTGAACCATGAATATAATTTCTCCAATGTCTACCCTTTTTTCCCCTTAATTGTATAGTAATGAGATTAGACTGCTAATCCATTGCTAATTAGTAATTACCAGTTAGCTTGAGCCTTCCTGGACGAGACAACATGCTGAGCGAGCCCTTCTGGGACCTTAACAATCGCAATCATACAAAATTGAGAAGAAAAAAAAAGTCAACTTTTAAGAAAATGCGATCAAAATTAACAAAACCCAGAAAGGTAAGCACCCAAAATCATCATCCATTTACTCAGACTAAGCTTTTACCTAAACAAAAGTTGATTAAATGGTTCAATTAGTGGTAGAAAGGTTACCTGAGAGGTGATCTCGAAGTTGTAGAGGTCTTGGGCAAGAGCCGAAACGCCGACAGTGGCGGCGGAGATGCCGTGAAGGCCAAGTGATTCAGAGTAGTCTCCTCCGGTGGTGGTGGGTTTGCAGCATTGCCCCAACAGGAACCTTATGAAGCTTCCCAACAACCCCATTTCTCGAATTTCCCAGCAGTCCGAGCCTCCAGAAGCTCAGAGTTGCAAGAGAATTGGACCCAGATGCTGATGAAGGAAGAAAAGCGAAAGACTTTTTAGGGTGAGAAAAAAAGGAGACTATGAATAATTGGGTTTTGGTTGAATTTTGGTAAAGCAAAACAGTAAATTGCAATGAAAAATGAGAGAGGAAGCAACCAATCATTGAATAGATGGACACGTGGCGTGTTGGAGTTTATCGGTTTTTTTTTTTTTGGGTTTATCAGTTTTATAGGTTACTGAAATCAGTGTTTTTCACTTTTCTTGGAAGAAATTGTAGTAGTGGTTAATCAAATTTAACTAAATTGGAGCAATGGTGATCCTTTAACTATGGTCCTTTTTGTCATTCCATCAAACTTTCGTCAAAATGAGTCATATGCCGCTCACATGAAACTGAATCAATGGGCAAATATGGAAAACAAAAATTAGAAAATTTTAGCAATGGTTTCTCAATTTTAATCCAATTGTAACAGTAGTCCTTCCACCATGACTCACTTTGACAAGAGTTTAGATGACGTTGACTAAAGTTGCACATTTTAATGAGTTAAATGATCAATGTTTACAAATTTTATTTGAGAAACTAATGCTCCAATTAGGTTAAAGTTAATAGACGATTGTCACAATTTTCTCTTTTTCTTAACCAAATTGGTTAAATCTAAAACTGTTTGCAATTCAAAGTGTAGACAAGGGCAGTTAGGATGAGCTGTTAGGGCAGTCAAGATGAGCTGTTATCATTTAAATGTACTTTGTATTTAATTGTATTATATAGCTGCTATAGGAACCCCTATATTCTGTAGACCTCTTGGTGTATAAAGGCTTGTAAAGGTTACCCAAAAGTTAATGAAAATCTGAAACTTCACATGGTATTGAGCCTCTGATCCTTTTTTTTTCCATGGCTTCCGCAACTTCCTCTCCTTCATCTCCCATCCCAAATATTTCTACACTAGTTTCTGTCAAACTTTCTGAGTCTAATTACTTACCTTGGGAAAGTCAAGTTAAGCCATTCTTGATTGGCCAAAACTTTTGGCGTTTTGTAGATGGAACACACCCGTGCCCTCCTTCCTTTCTCACCACCACCACTCATGCCCCTTCACCAAATGCCTCTGCGGATTCAGACTCCTCCACAGTGGTGCCTCCTGTGACTACTAGCATTCCCAACCCCGACTACCTGGTGTGGTACCAGACTGATCAAACACTTGTCAGCATGTTGCGTGCTACGCTTACAGAGCCTGTTCTTTCTTTAACCGTCGGGTTGTCTACTTCTCGTGAGATTTGGGAGCATCTTCGTCAAAATTTTTCTCAACAATCCCTTGCCAACTCTACCCATACTCGCTTTCAGTTGCTGTCTCTCTCAGAAAGGTACTAAAACAATTTCGGACTATCTGGGTCTTGCCAAACACTTGGCAGATCAATTGGCTTCTATTGGCCAACCTGTTCAGAATGATGATTTGGTGACTTATGTACTAAATGGCTTGGGGCCTGAATATGAGATTCTTGTCTTTGGCGTTGACCAACTTCCCCTCCTCTACCGTCATTCAACGATTTACGTGCTCGTCTTCTGGTTTATGAATCCAAACATGCTATGTCTCAAGCTACTTTGGCTCTTCTTCTCCTTCCGCTTTCTACTCCGCACGTAATTCTGGTAGTAATCTCTCTCAGGGACGTGGTAATTTGTCCTCCCGCCCTCATGGCACTTCAAGTAGCAATCGGCTTCCTCGTACTTATGGTGGTGGTCGTTCTCTCTATGCATGGTTGTGCTGGTCGCTATGGTCAGCGTGCTACACATCAACGCCCTGGCATACTTGGACCCGGTCCTGCTACTCGTGGCCCTCAATGTTGGTCATGCAATCAATTTGGTCATATAGCTGCGTTGTGTCCTCGAGCGCCTCGTTCTGATGATGACATCTCTCGAGCTTTCGCTGGGCATGCACATTGCTTCCCCTTCTGATCCTACGTGGTATCCGGACACTGGTGCTACTCACCATATGACAAGTGACTCTCGTTCCATTACTTCGGCTACGGGTGGTATGGTTCTAATGACAAGGTTGTTGTGGGTAATGGTGAGACCCTCCCTATTGCGCACACTGGTAATATTTCTTTTAAGTCCGGGTCGTTCATTTTTCGGTTATCCCAAGTTTTGCATGTTCCAGCAATTCGGAAAAATTTATTGTCGGTTGCTAAGTTTACACATGATAATCTTGTTAGTCTAACGTTCTTTCCATGGGGTTTTGTCGTACGTGACTTAAAGACGGGTGTGTTCTTTTTCTTTTCAGGGCCCATGTGAGGATGGTCTTTATCCCATTAAGCTTGGTCTTGCTTCTAGCAATGGGTCTACTGCCAAACATGCTTTTGCTTTCCATTTTTGCGTCACCCTCACTTTGGCATCGTCGTCTTGGACATCCCTCCCGTCAAGTTCTTAGTGTGTTAGCATCTCGTGATGTACTAGGCTCATCCTTTCCTATCTCCACTAAAGATTTTTGTAATTACTGTGCGTTGGCTAAATCCCATCGCCTAGCATTTACGTCTTCCGAACACCTTGCTATGACCCCTTTTGAATTAATACATTCTGATGTTTGGATGTCTCCTGTTGTTGTCGGTGTCGGGTTTTCGTTACTATGTCTTGTTTACGGATGATTACACACGATACACATGGATTTATCCCATGCGTAAGAAGTCTGAGGTCTTTAATCACTTTAACAATTTTATTACTTTCATTTTTAATCAGTTTTCTACAATGGTTAAAATACTCCAAAGTGATGGGGTAAAGAATATGATAATTTGTCCTTTCGTCAATTGTGTGCGCATAAAGGGATTCACCATAGATTTTTCTTGTCCACATACCCCGCAGCAAAATGGACTTGCAGAACGGAAGCACCGTCATATCTCAGAAATGGGACGCACCATGTTACTTGCTGCCAGTCTTCCGCATAAATTTTGGGCTGAGGCACTTTGCACCGCTGTTTATATAATTAATCGGCTACCCACTCCTGTTCTCAAGTGGGCTTCTCCGTTTCAAATTTTATTTGGCCGAGCTCCTGATTATATGTTTTTGCGCACGTTTGGGTGTGCTTGTTTCCCATATCTTTGGTGATTATGCAACTAACAAACTACAACCCAGATCCTTGTCATGTGTTTTTCTTGGCTACAGTGACAAATATAAAGGCTATCGTTGCTTCCATCCCCCAACTGGACGTGTCTACCTGTCCCGCCATGTTACGTTCAATGAAGATGATTTTCCATTTCACTTTTCTATGGCATCATCTTCCGTGCCACAATCAGACTTGGTATTTGTTCCCATTGTCCCCATACCTGCCCCACCTCAACCCCACCATGCCCTGTCACCCATGTTTGCCCTTAATGCAACCCGTGACTTTGCCTCAAAATCTGGCAGCGTCCTTTCCTGCTGCAATTTCAGCAACAAAATATGCATGCACCACCCGTGACCATGCCTTCTCCTCCACATACATCTCCCTTGCCAGTTGGTGGCGTGGAACCCCTACTACCTGCACCACCCGTGACTATGCCTCAAAATATGGAACTAGTTGCTGTCCACACCTCTGCCCCTCTTCCTACGTCAATTCCTACTGCAACTCAGCTGCACCAATCAACATCCACATACATCTCATTTGCCAGCTAGTGGCGTGGCTCATGCTCCTTCCTCAGGACCTCACACACGGTCCAAGTCTGGAATTTTCAAACCCAAAACCAAGGCCTACTTTGCTAGTCGTCATCCTATTCCCTCTGCTGCAATGACTGCCCTTGTTGCATCCGATGCGGAGCCCACTTGTTTTACACAGGCCTCACGGTCTCTCTCTCAGTGGCGCAAGGCCATGCTGGATGAGTTCAATGCGTTGCTCAAACAAGGTACATGGACTTTAATTCCTCCCGTTCCTTATGCTAACATTGTCGGATGTAAATGGGTGTTCAAAATAAAACGTCATTCTGATGGGTCGATAGAGCGTTACAAGGCGCGTCTTGTCGCCAAAGGTTTCCATCAACAACCTGGGGTTGATTACACAGAGACCTTTAGTCCCGTTGTGAAGCCTACCACGATTTCGAACCGTGCGCTCAGCCTAGCCGTGTGTCCTTTGGTTGGCCGATACATCAACTTGACGTGAAGAACGCATTTCTCCATGGTTCACTTATGGAAGAGGTTTATATGGCCCAACCACCTGGATTTGTTGATCCAAGTCGTCCCAAATATGTTTGTAAGCTTCGGAAAGCCATCTACGGTCTTAAACAAGCTCCGCGAGCTTGGTTTCAACGCCTAAAACACCTTTCTCATCATGCAGGTCGGCTTTGTTCAAAGTCGAGCAGATATAGCTCGATGTTTACATATCATCATGGCTCCACTATCCTCGTTTTTCTTCTATACGTGGATGACATCGTTTTGACTGGTAAATTCCTCTCCTTTTATTCAATCCTTTATCCACACTTTGAGCACTGAGTTTGAACTAAAGGATCTCGGCAAGCTGCACTACTTCCTTGGCATTGAGGTATCCTATTTATCCAATGGTATTCACTTGTCTCAGAACAAATATACCTTGGAATTATTACAACGTGGTGACTTATTAGAATGTAAACCTTGTTCCACACCTATAGCAGCCAAGACGTAACTTTCTGCACACACCGGTGCTCCCCTCTCGAATCCATCTCTTTATAGGCAACTTGTGGGTTCCTTGCAGTATCTTACGTTAACTCGGCCGGACATTTCCTTTGCTGTACAAAATGTTTCTCAGTTTATGGGTCATCCTACTACTGCTCACATGGAAGCGGTTAAGCGAATATTGCGTTATCTTAAGGGCAGCTTGGGTATGGGCCTTTGCTTAACTTCCTCTTCACAACCATTTCGTCTCATTGCTTATTCTGATGCGGATTGGGCAGGGTGCCCTGACACACGTCGCTCTACCACTGGCTTTTGTATTTTCCTTGGTGACAATCTGATTTCTTGGTGTGCTAAGAAACAACGGACGGTCTCTCGATCCAGTGCCGAAGCGGAGTATCGGGCTCTTGCCTTTGCATGTGCTGATTCTATTTGGATAGCAGGTCTTTTGCGTGAGCTTCGTGTCCCAGTCTTTGAGCCAATACTGATGCATTGTGACAATCTGAGTGCCACATATATGGCTGCTAATCCGGTCTTTCATGCTCGCACGAAACACATTGCTTTGGATTATCATTTCGTCCGGGAACGTGTTGCTTCCGGAACTCATCGTGTTCACTTTCTTCCTTCCATTTCGCAACTGGCTGATCTTTTTACGAAAGGCCTATCGAAGACGCGTTTTCAGTCCTTGTGTTCCAAACTTGTCTCTTCTCCGGCGTCAAGTTTGCGGGGGAGTGTAGACAAGGGCAGTTAGGATGAGCTGTTAGGGCAGTCAAGATGAGCTGTTATCATTTAAATGTACTTTGTATTTAATTGTATTATATAGCTGCTATAGGAACCCCTATATTCTGTAGACCTCTTGGTGTATAAAGGCTTGTAAAGGTTACCCAAAAGTTAATGAAAATCTGAAACTTCACACAAAGCAAAGAGGTGTCTAATTTGGCAACGCCATAAATGATAAAATCAGGCAGGCACATATGAGAGAGAGAGAGAGAGAGAGAGAGAGAGAGAGAGAGTTGTGTTAAGAAATGGCCGTCCAAATGTGAATGTGTTGAAACGATACCGGTTCATTGCATTTGTGAAGTTTTTTAGTTTCGAGCTCACATGGTGACATGTGAGAGTCCATGTGAGAGCCCTGGTTTAAACTAATTTTGCTTTGCATTTTACACTATCAGACACCATTTGGGGAAGAAGAAGAAGCGGATCCATCCCTTTGGTGCGAGCAGCTATGTCACAATAACATATCCGCTCAAGACACGCAAAGAGAATTTTTGAGTTTGGGGCAATAGGTGATACCGTGATAGGAAGCCACTGCCCGTTCTTAAGAAATTCTCGTTTTATCGTTGGAGAAAACTTTCAGTGCAAAGTATTTAGACCACGTGACATGTCTGTTTCCACACACCGTACCACCCTCCTCAGGATTATGGGCTGGTTTGGTATTGCTGTGTTTTGAAAAAAAACTGTTGTGAGAATAAGCGGTTGTGATGTGAGAATAAGCGGCTGTGAAATAAATCAGGAGAGTGTTTGGTAAACTTTTTTGTAAAAGTGCTTTTGGAAAAAAAAAACAGTCTGATAGTGGATCTTTTCATTAAAGGAGCACTGTAGTTCCGTGTGCTTTGAAAAAAAATCATTTTTCTAAAGCTGCAAATAACAACTTTAGCTTTTTCCTTTGATTTTAGGTTATTATCACAGCATTTCCAAAATAAGCTTTTTTTTTTTAGTTTACCAAACACCTAAAACCCTCACAGCTTTTTTTCATGGGTGTTTTTTTTTTTAAACACCTCACTCCCAAACCATCCCTATGTCTCACCCACAACTCTAGTCCCTAACCTTTTGTATTTGATGAAGACATCCTGTTGAATTTTTCGTTATATGGTTGTTCCCCTATTTAGGTGTTTTAGAGAGAATGTGCCATACAAGCAAGGATATATCTCACTTACCACTTTTTTGACCATAAAAATGCATCACTCGTATAAGAGGATAAGAGGACAACATGCCCTAACCATAGGTATATACCATTGTGTTTACAACAAGCAAGAGATAATCTGCACGAGTTTTATAGACACAAAAAATATGCTCGAATAGCATAGTATACTAACATGTATTGTTTTCCATCAAAATTGAATGGGAAATGTGAGTAAGATCCATCTCAAATGACTGAAAATTGTGTACTTTTTATTTTTATTGAAACTAATGGAGCCAATTTTTCGTTGTTCTTAGGTTGTGGAATTGAAGGTGGGATTGTACGGTGAAGAATGCATCAAGAAAGTCTTGAAGGCCATCAAGAAGATTGAAGGTAATTCATGTCTACTTTCATCCTTAGACATCCTTTAAACTACGGAGAATTTTCTCCCCTCCTAATCTCTTTCCCCTTCCCTCACCTCCTACTTGAACGGTTACGGTTAAACCACGTTAATATCTTATATTGATTTCTTTTTTAAAGAGACAATAAGACAAAATAATGTGTGAGAGGAGGGAAGAGAAGGAGATGAGAATAGAAGGGGAGATAGTCTCTCCTTCAACTACGCAGAGAAGTGTCAAGATCAATCGTGCAAACTGATCTGGTTGTTCATACTCATCAGGTTCCACAAGTATGAACGGCCAAATAAGTTGTGCACGGCGGGGTTGATCTTAACATTTCCCTTCAACAATGCCCTATCCATTCCATTTTGTGACTGCTAAAACAATAATTGTTTGGTTTTATCCTCTCTCCGTGCTAGCAGATATTCAAACATATAATGTGGATGCACAACTCGACAAGGTCACGCTGACAGGAAACGTTACGACAGAAACAAGTTCAATCGCATAGCTTCTCAGTTACTAAGCAACACAAAAGAATCGAATATTTATATCGAACGGTTAATAGAGACTTGATCTTCAACGCACAGATGCATACTCTTAACTGCAACGAGGGTTTAGTTCAGTTGGTAAGGGCGTGCTTCTAGTTAACTCCCAATGACAATTCGATCCCCGCTGCCAGCAGTTTTTATTGGTGCGCGAGTTGTAAATCCTACATAAATTCATTCTAACGGTAGCTGGCAATTATGTGCTATGCTTAAGTTTTTTCTGCTTGAAGTTGTGAGTAGTACCCTAAGTCGGGTGAGAGTGGTCAATCCCTTCTGAACTCTTCACACGGAAAGAGATCCTTTCCGGATTCCTTCCACCTGAGCCAACTGAGCATGAAATCTAGACCCTTGAAATTTGATCCAACGGTTAAAAACAGAAATTCCATTAAAAGTTATAATAACTTTAGTCGTTTGATTAAATTTCAAGGATCTAAATTTTTTGCTCAGTTGGCTAAAGAATCCCTTTCCTCTTCACACAACCTTCATTTTTTAAAATACAAACGTTCCTTCCCACATGAAATTAGTTGCTAAATTTTATTTTGTATAACAAACGATCACTTTTGACGAGAATGAAACTTAAAGATATGTAACAAGTGAAGAGAAATATCATACTAAGTGACGAAATTAGTTGCTAACTTTGCTTAACAAAATAATCAAAATTTTATGTCGCAAATTAGATGTACTTTATTGATCAAAGCAAGTACGAACGGTAGAACACAGTTACATGTAACAAACAGTGAAAGCTAGATACATGCTTATCTACAAAGAAACACTACTTCAAACTCGGTCATCCAGCGCCGCCCGGCTCAGTCTACCTCGGCTGCTGAATCGCCCTGGGACTCACTTTCACGTTCACAAACTTCGCCGCCTTTTCGATGTACCTCGGAGCCTCCGCCACGGGTCGGCCTTTCCGCCATTTCAGCAGTCCCAACGAAACCAGCTCTTTGTTCAAGTCCTTCTCTTCCTCCTCCGCCGCTGCACACCACAAACATTTCAAAATTAGCGACTCAGATCGTAAACTCGGGCGAGTTGACTCAGATTCAAAGGCAAAAGACTCGTTTGGGGACTGCTTCTGCAGAAACAACTTCAGCTGCTTTTGCTAGACGTGCTTTTGTTGCTTACTAGGAAAGCACAAGTGCTTATCTAAAAAGTGCTTCTGCGATCCAGAAGAACTTAAAGTTAGAGATGCTTACCCTGAGTGTTGCGGGAGTGATGGATGTTCTCAACGTCGTCGAAGAGGGCGTCGACATCGGAGAGGAGGGCAGGATCGTGAATATCGGAAAATGAGGGATCGTTTTGGGGATCTTGGAAGCGCTCCTGGAGCCAGTAGTCTTGGAACCAAGGGGAGGACTGGACCAGGGCCCACCACTCGGCGGAGAAGTCCTCCACCGTCCGATACGCCAGCGGCACGAACATCGGAGCGTTGGGATTCAGATTCGACGACATCGTCGTGCTCCTAGAAATGATGTCCATCTCCGGTCTGGTAATTGCCTGATACTGTAAATCTCGAAACGACGTCGCAACCAAGAGAGCGAGAGTGAGAGAAGGCCTGCAGAAGTAGAAGGGTTGAAGGTGATGAATCAGCGGATAAGGATAAGAGCGGAAAATAACTTACTATAAATAGCCAAATTAATGTGGAAAGGAAATGCAGACGATTAATTATTTCTTTTTTTTTTGGGATAAATAGTAATAAATTAATTAATTGAAAGGCGACATAAAAAAGTGGTCGGTCACTGACTTTTTGGTTTTAATGGCGACAAAAATTATAAAATTGGCCCACATTTTTACTTCCCAATCCAAAACTGCTAACTTTGCCCACAGGCTTAGAAATTTCTTTATTTTTTTGAGATATGGCTCGAGATTCTGGCCCATTGTTTTTTTGTTTATTTTATGCCACGTGGAAGCCACGTTGGAGAACCCTAGAATGAATAGTTCATATCATGATTCAAGATTCTTAACCGTTGGATGCTTATTTGTAGTCATTGTGTTTTTAGCTAGAGATTAGAGCCATGATCCCGATTCATTTAAAAAAAAAATTCTCCAATCTGATTCTAATATCAACCATAATAGATCACCACAATTCTAATGTACGACCGGTTGAAATCATGTCCTGAACCAATGATAATGCGACATGTAATGTTCTTTCCATATTGTATTTTATCTTCGCATGACATTGTACTATTGTTACGGATCGTCACAATAGTAGTATACTTGTGCTATGTAAGTTGTTTTTCAAATTGTGATTGCTAAATCTTGTGCCGGGTGGGCACGAGTATTGTGGAATGTTGAAAAAAATGAGTTCAAACTGTAGAGAGGGAAATATAGAAGAGGGCATAGTGCGTATTTTTTGTTGGGGATTTCCCGGAAGAAATCGTCACATATTCCTCCAATTCCTTATGAAAGACATTCAGTCCAACATAAAAGAATAATAATTATAATACATATATATACAAATAGTCGTATGAGAGCAAGAACTTACAGGAAGATTTGGAACATTTCAATCAAACTCAGGTTGGATTAGTAGTTGCTAATTACCTTATATTTTGTTTAATTAATAATAATTGTAATATAAACACCCGCAGTTTTCTCAAGGATCGAATTTAGATTATCTATTTTGTACTTTGTAGGATATAGCTCACCCGTCAAAAATGTTCATTCCCAAAATATCAGCTTCACCTCACATTCCTCTCTCCGACTCTCTGTGTGTAATTCTTGTGTATGGTACTTGTTTGCGTTCACTTCTTCGTCGTTCTTCGTTCTTCGTTTTTCGGTTTCTTTTCTTTCGTTCTTCTTCTTCTTCTTCTTCTTCTTCTTCTTCCTTGAGGTGCAAGCAAAAGTAGAGGCAGCTGAGATGGGCTTAAACATAAATGCATTGGTTGGAGACATCGAACAGGCCATAGACAATGTGACTTTGGTGTGCCAAAATCCCTACGGCAGCATTGCTTCCCGCGGAGTATTCCGCCACGAGAACCCTCTCGCTTCCTCCACATCTCTTCTTCTGGTGCAGTTATCCATCATCACCCTTGTTTCCCAGTTGATCAATCTCTGCTTCAAACCCCTGGGACAGTCCACCCTCGTTTCTCAGATGTTTGTACGATTTCAATCTCTGCATTAACAAAACTTGTATACATTTGGACACCATTTCTATACGGATCAATTCACCATGCTTTTCCGTTCTGTGTGTATCTAACAAATTGAAATTCTGTTCAGGGCGGTGTAATATTCGGGCCATCACTTCTGGGGCACAAAAAGCAAATCTCAAACACCATCTTCCCGATAAAAAGCGCTAATGTGTTTGAAACAATTGCAACATTCGGCCTCATGTTCTTCCTTTTTTCAACCGGAGTGAAGCTGAATGCAGGCAGAACGATAAGGCCTGAACGAAGAGCAGTTTCCATTGCACTTTCGATGTTCTTCTTCACCTTGGCACTCCCCTTATGCCTAGCCATGACGATGAGAAAATATGTCGCGATGGACGAGACCCTTAGATCGGCTCTCCCAACTATAACTACATCACAGGTTATATCGAGTTCCCCTGTGGTTGGTTGTTTACTAACCGAGCTCAGGCTAATGAACACGGACCTTGGCCGCCTGGCCCTCTCTGTAACAATGTTTTCCGATGTTATAGGCATCATTATGGTTGGGATGGCCATGGCGATTTTGGGTAACAAGACGAAAACTGCGTTAGTTCCAGTCTTGGAAATAATAACAGCGTTAGCTTTTGTTCTTTCGATTATATACTTGTTCAGGCCAGCAATTCTATGGATGCTCAACCGTATAGAGGAAGGGAAATCTGTCAAGGAGTCGTATACCATTACCATTTTCCTGTTTGTTCTTGTGTGTGGATTTCTCAGTGAGCTCATAAGCCAGCATTACTTGCTGGGACCTCTAGTGCTTGGTTACGTCGTGCCTGCAGGACCGCCTTTGGGATCTGCATTGGTGATGAAGTTGGAAATTTTGGCTACAGGGTTGTTCTACCCAACCTACCTTGCCAATAGCGGGCTGAGGACGAACATCTTCAGGGTTAATCCTCGGTCTACATGGATTATGGGGGTTCTTGTTCTCTTTTCTGCCCTGGTGAAGGTAGGAGCAGTAATGTTACCAGCCACCTATTTTGATGTGCCTACGCATGACGCTTTTGTGCTCGGCATCATCCTTAACGCCAAAGGCATCACTGAACTTGTTATGTACAACATCTGGAAGCAAGGCAAGGTCTGAATCTCAATCGCTAATTTAAACTCTCCTTTTCGCTAATTGTTTTCAGTACGATGCTCACCTGGGATGATATGATAAATCTTTTACAGATTCTGACTGATCAAGAATTCGCGCTGTCCGTGTTCTCGGTGATAGTGATGACAGCAATTGTAACACCTTTGATAAAGTTTTTGTATGATCCTTCAAAGAAATACGCAGCACTGAAAAGAAGTACAATCCAACATTTGAAGCGCGAGTCAGAGCTCCGAATCCTGGCCTGTATCCACAACCAGGACAGTGTTCCCACTCTCATAAACGTCCTGGAAGTAACAAATGCTACAGAAGCGAACCCTGTTGCAGTCATAGGCCTCGTCCTCACCGAGCTTGTGGGGCAAACCAACCCTATTCTCGTGGCGCACCAACCCCGTGACAACTTTGACAACAACACAGCCATGTCCTGCCATATTGTCAAAGCGCTGAGGCAGTACGAGCAGCATAGCCAAGGGCGTGCCTCCCTCCAAGCATTCACTTCCATCTCACAGTATATAACAATGCATGATGACGTTTGCCGCGTTGCAATGGAGAAGAGGGCTAACCTGGTGATCCTGCCGTTTCACAAGCAATGGGCAGTAGATGGCAACATTGGGACGGTGAACCGAGCTCTCCAGTCCATGAACATGAACGTCCTCGAAATGGCGCCTTGCTCTGTTGGAATTCTCGTTGATCGGGGACTGCTAGGAGGGTCGGTATCAGTTCTAACCAACCAGTATACATTCCATGTTGCTGTGATCTTCATTGGTGGTGCAGACGATGCAGAGGCACTAGCCTATGGCGCTCGCATGGCAAGACATCCGAGCGTGGACTTAACAGTTGCCCGGTTCCTCCTCTTTGGTGACGAAAACAGCAAAGACCGGAAGCGGGAAAGTGACCTGGTTGAGGAATACCGGCTAGCTAATGCAGACAATGAGCGGTTTGTTGTGGTGGAAGAGGTGGTAAGAGACGGAGCAAGATTGTCCGCTGTTATCAAATCAATGGTGGACTGTTTTGATTTGATGTTGGTAGGCATGCACCACCAGGACTCCCCGCTTCTTTCGGGGCTCGGTGAGTGGAGTGAGTGCCCGGAGCTCGGAATCATCGGAGATATGCTTGCTTCCCCGGACTTCCAGTGCTCACTTTCTGTGCTAGTGCTGCAGCAGCAGAGAATTGGAGGGAAACCGGTTAATCGGAATCAAGCAGTTGACAGAGAACCGCTAATTCACGAAGCACCCCCTGAGGAAACACTACGAGGATCCTGGACGATTACAGTTAGCGAAAATGGTAGGAAATAGAGTTTAGAAACTCTTCCTTTCTGGTGTTGCTTTCTTTTTCAACTCAGCCCCATTCATTTTTTCTGTAAATGATACTATTTTGGATTTTTCTTTTTCATTTATATAACGATATATTTTACATTAAGAGGATTGGAAGTTCGCTAAGCTACACAATGAGCAACCTAATTTGGCATCGAATTCGCCATCTATGAAATTCAAACCTAAAACCTCTGACATAGAAATATCACCAGACTATAGTACTGAGTGTTAGGTACACAACAATTTTTGAGTGGTGCCAATTTGAACATGGGGTTTAAGAAATATTTAGAATATACATTTCCTCATTTAATCATATTTGTCTGTCTAAAAAGACGTGGGTATAGTCCCATTGACTAATGCAAAAGTACTCTTTCGTGTACTTGAGTTTGATTGCTCTTCTCGCAGTTAAATTAATTTAAAACTGAATATTAAAAACGAGATGAGGGAGATGAGAATTGAAATATATTGGTTTATAAATGGAAATTAGAATCTAAAAAAAAATTTAGATGATTATACAATTATTTTAAATGGTACCAAATATTCATTAATATTACATGCCGGTGTAACAGTCTCATTGTTTTCCAAACAAAGCAAGTTTCCGTCCATTAGTAAACCAATCTACCAATGTAACCACTTAACAACCAACAAAACAGTATGTCTTAACACAACGGTTATAGAAAAGCTCAATCGAATTAGGGGTATGCTATCCACACACCCCATTTTACTTCTCACACACCCCTTGATAATTTATGTCCGTTGATTTTCTTCAATTCATCCGATCTGATGGCCGAAATTAAAAAGGTGTGTGAGAAGTAAAATAAGGTGTGTGGATATCATACCCCTCGAATTATTGCTTGATCGATCCACAGTCAATTTTACTGACAGAAATATCAAAATACATATCGCAAAATCTAAGTGTCCTCTAATTCCACAAGGTAAAATAGACGACGGAAAGAATTGACTCCGGAAAACAGCAAGCTTCGGAGCTCTTCAACAACGATTACAGGGATGAGAGAGAGAGCTCACTGGATACCGGCAAATGAGGGCAAGACAGCGATAAGGGGGTCTCCGAAACCAACTGCTTCTGCAAATCATTAACAATTCAAATAAACGAATAAGAGCTTTGACATTTGTAGGGTTTAGATTAAGGTCACAATATACAACCGTAGATATGACAAACTTGATAACATTAAACTACTGCATCGAAAAATGATAAAAGTCACTATACCTCCGTCGTTGAAGAGGAGCTTCAAAACTTCTCCACCCACATCAGTCTGCCCAACACATCAAGGATCCGTCATGAGCGATATGTCTATCATGAAACACTTAGCATGAAGGGAACTGAAATGGAAAACGTACCTTCACAGGAAGTTCGGTGCCAAACTGATCCACATATCCGATTACCTGTCCTTTTTTTATCAAATCACCCTGTAAAATTTGGAATCAAGAGAAGCCAGATTGAGGTTATGTTGCCAAGTTGGTTATACAAATTGTGACCCTACATTCATTATTTGGATAAAGAAATCAAAGATTCCGAGACACTGTTATGGGACTTCTTTAGACTCGATCTTATTACTTAAAATCCTAATAGCAGTTGCAATGAAAGCACTCGTAGAATCGGTAGTCCCTAAAATGGGGCTTATTTAGACTCGATCTTATTAACAAAAATGCAATCTTCTAGATAGATATATAAGTATTTTACTAATCAGTTAAATTCTTGATTTACTCAACTAAATGAGGAGTTTAGAAGAATATTCTGGAAGTTTTTATGTTGTATGTCGAAATCTTTTTCTACATAAGGTGAGAATGGCATATTAGGTGAATTTCCTATTAAAATTACGGCAAAATAACAAAATCAAAATGTTGAGCCAAACATAGGAATGCAACTGATACCTCTTTAAAGATGGGAGGTTGCTTCTTTCCTTTCACTGTTCTTCCCCTGCGGAATGAACCAACCTGGAACCAACAAGAAAAGAAAGTTGAAAGTGAGCCCTAGATGCTATATCGTAGTTATTGTCCTGGACAAAGTAAACGAACCAAATTGTTTCTCGAACATAGGAACAACACATACCGTAGGAGAAGAAACCAGATCATATCCCTTAGCACCAGAAGCCTCCAAGGCTGCTAACCTTGATGACTTGTCTACAGATACGTTTGTAAATGGAGTGGTTTTTTCAGAAGATTTTGGTGGTGATGCTGGAGGGGGAGCAGGAGTTGAATCCATAGGTTTAGATGGAACAGGTGGTGGTGTTGCTGGCGAGATGATAGGCACTGGATCACTGGTGACTGCAATATTCCGCTTCAAATGCATTTCAAAGTCTCCAACCTAACACAGAGATATGCATGACCAATCAAAGAACTGAAAGAAGAGAATGTAAACTACAAACAAAAAATTGCTGATGACAATTGAGGTGGAAAATCAACCCATTGGTGATTGCACCTTACACCATCATCACCACTACCAATCTCACCTTGATATTATGGAGATATCAAATTAAATGGGTCTGAACGGTTACCCATTAACAACCCAATGGGTTGATTTACCACCTCTAATGACAATCAACTCTAGACAACCCAGTAAAACAGGAGAAGCCTGAGGAACTAATGAAATTTTAACCAGGAATTGAATCCATGATCTACCACTAAAACGTTTGATTTATGTCCCCTATGCCTCAACTCCATGGGCACACTAAAAATGTACTCATCGTTGCCTTAACATATTGAGTACCCACTTCTTTTCAGATTCTTAATGAAGAACAAACTTTGTTTTTAACATAAAATGCATGCTTTATGTACACATGAAGCAACATCAATAGATTTTTCAAGAGTACCATTTTGCATGATGGGTGTTGATATTTACCTTAAGTTTCAGTTCAGCAACCTCTGTCTCGTCACAGACTTCTAGCATCAGTGCCTGGTGATAAAGACAACTGTGTGTCAGACCGGAAGGTTGAGTGCAAAAGCATTAGAGGCAGCATCAGTATCCACAAAAAAATTGTTGATATTAATAGAATCTAATCAATTTCAATGAATCAGATAGGAGCATAGTTAGAGCACAGTAACGCATAAAGATAAAGCATGAAGTATGCATAAAGCTAAAGCATGAAGTATAAGTTGACTGAATTTATACCAAATTCTCAAAGTTCAAAAGCAGTTGAAAATCTTGCATCAAAACGTTCAAGTAACAATTGCGATATCATGATATAAGAAGCAATCATAGTCAAAGCAAGATTTAGGATTACTTTGAGTATAACCATTTGTTAACGAACAATACCTTTGCAAATCTACTGATGAAGGAAAAAGTCAAGTATGTTCATCAACAAAGAACAGAGGGTCATACAACAAAAACAAGGATTCCTGGTTCAATTATGACTTCTTTGTTTATGTAGAATCATAAATATTCTCACCTCGAATCCACTAGGAAAAATTGTGGGATGGGTAGCTTTCTCTGATGAGCGTTGTGGTTTACTATCTGCTGAAACTGCCCAAAATTAAATATATTTAAGATGGAAATTAAGAGTTTTACTCAAGCTATATTGGCACGTGTAAGCACATTTAAAGAAAAATGAAAACCCAAATGTTTAAGAAACGGAAACTAAAAAGAAGGAAATCAAATCAGATGTAAATTTATTCTGACAACAACAAAAATGATCTTCAGATGCAACAATGTAACAGAAATCAAGCTTTACAAATATCCAAGAGAAAACATCACAAGTTATTGGTTAATTTAATTGCACTCACAAAGACAAACTTGCCAGTTACTGAATATTGTATATACATAAACATACCGCTGGAATTTTCAGTCTTAGCAGCTTCAGATGTCTTCACACATGATACTAGCACTCCCCTTCGCTTTTGTGAAGAATAAATGAACTTCTCACTAACCATCAAGCCTTGGAAATATGATCTACTTGGAGTGGGCCTTCTGGTATTGTACACAGGCAACATACCAGGTTTGTCAAGCAAGGACCGGACATGGGAAACCGTGCCTACAGAACCTGAAATTTGGCAATGTCTTGTGACTCAGAACCCGACCATGAATCAAAGCTCAACAATCGTTGAATAATTTGCACTTCTCAGAGAAACATAAAAAGATTATGCACATAGGATTCAAATCCTTCATATGCATGCTTTATTATTCCAAATACATGGTACGTCTTTTGGATTCGCTACTCCTCTAGGAACAAAGCAAACGACAGTAATATTTCAAGTTTTATCACAGCATCTAAAAAGTTTCAATTGAGACTGCCTTGTTAAATTAGATGCATTCAGCTCCAGAAATTAAAAAAACGATGTACATGTTCGTTATCGTTATCATAGAAAATCCATGCCGGTTAAAGATAACAAGAATCAATCACTTCAGATCTCAAACCATTGGAGCCTAATTTCTTACTTCAGCGTTACCAAAACGTTATATGCAAAAAGCAGCTAAGCTTAGTTCTACACAGACAATCAAAATAAACTCAAAATCTTCCATTATTTTTCCAAAAATCCAAAACAATTTGATTCCTCAACTATCAATTCGTTCACAAAATCAAAATCAAAACAAATAAACAGCTAAAATTGTTTTCCAAAAAAAAATTTAGATCAAATTACTACTAATGCTTAAGCTTCAAACATACACAAATATATACATGTTTATATCATGAATGCATGTATGTATGTACATATGTATGAATGAACAGATACAGAGAGAGATAAAGATAGAGATGGAGATAGAGAGAGAGTTACAGTTGAAGGATCGGAGAGCGGCGGAGGACTCCATTGGCGGAAGGAAAATGCAGACGAGAGAGAGAGAGAGAGAGAGATTTTCCGGCGATTTGGACGAACCAGAAATGGTGGAATCGGTACGAGACGGGAATTTAAAGAGACGTTTCGGGGGGTAAAATCGAGAGCTGAAGAAAACGAAGCGCCACTGGTTAGTTGGGGAGGTTGATCTTCGAAATATCCGCCTCCCACATCAGTTTCTCCGTTTAAGTTGACGAGTTACTGGCTGCGGCGGGTTCTAGGATTACATATGTGCGTCTTCCACGTGGATGTCTTGCATTATGACACATTGAGTACCTAAGATTAGACAGCATACACCTTCACATACTCGATCCTGCATCACCATAAGCCAAGAGAAAATCCTCGTCGAATTCTTTTTTTAAGAATCTTAAGAATAGAAAATCCTCGTCGAATTCTTTTTTTTAAGAATCTTAAGAATTGTTTAATCATATTCGTTCATCATATTACTGTCAGTTTTTACTATATACTATTTATATTTAATTTTAAATAAAAAATATATATAATAATTTCTAATTATAATAATGAACGAATGTAATTGAAACTTCCGTACAAAAAAATCCGGCGAGAGTCCTCTCTAAATTCGCTCCATTTAAACAGCGTTCGTTCCCTCTTGTCCCTCTTGAAATCGAGTACATTCCTCCAAGACACCGGCCATTCCACGCGCCAACAATGGCCTCCCCAGCGACGCTTCCGATCTCCAACGCCCAAACGACCGTCGGTGCCCAGTCACAGCCTCCGATCGCCACCCCCGCCTTCCGCGTGTTCATCTCACGCCTATCCTCCTCCGTCCGCAACGGCTTCTCGCAGCGCCGCCCCTGGTACGAGCTCGTGGACAGGAGCGCCTTGGCCCGACCCGACTCCCTCACCGATGCCTACTCCCGGATCCGCAAGAATTTCACCTACTTCCGCGTCAATTACGTGTCCCTACTCACCCTCGTACTCGCCCTCTCTCTCCTCACCCATCCCTTCTCCCTCATCGTCCTACTCTCGCTCCTCGGCGCGTGGGCTTTCCTCTACCTGTTTCGAGCGTCCGATCAGCCGCTCGTCATCCTCGGCCGCACTTTCTCCGACGCCGAAACCCTCATCGGGCTCGTCGTGTTGACCGTGGTCGTCATCTTCATGTCCAGCGTCGGCTCGCTCCTGATCTCGGGTTTGTTGATCGGATTCGCCATTGTTTGCGCGCACGGTGCGTTTAGGGTTCCGGATGACCTCTTTCTCGACGATCAAGAGCCCGCCAACGCCGGATTTCTCTCGTTCCTTGGTGGCGCTACCTCCTCCGCCGCTGCCGTCCCTGGACGTGTCTAATTGAATCTCGCCGCAACCATGGTGAGACCATATCTTTTTTGTACTGATCTGTGCAATTGATATTCTTGTAGGATTATAAAAACTTAATCTGATTGCGGAATTTTAGAGCGGAAATTCTAGGGTTTCATGTAGATTTGATCTGAAATTTGTATTTCTGTTTTATTTATTTAGTCAAATTTTGATGCTGATGAATTTAGATATTAATTCATGTTTATATTCTGATTATTTGGTGAGTTAATGCTTATGAATAATTAGATTTTCCAGATTGCATGAATGATTTGTATAGAACTGGATGATGGTTTGTTTGTCGAAGACTTTGATTTAAAATCCGGTCGTAGCGAAATTGGCTAGAGAGTTTTGACTAAATCGATTAGAATACCTTGCTCGGATAAAAAGAAATTCAAGCAGCAACGTACATTGTTTGTGTTATAGTAGGACAATAGGTATTACTTATGGAGATGTGGGATAAAAACTATAGTCGCTTGTAGTCGGAGGCTCCTCCGTTGATGACATGTCGGCTTTCTAACATCTTATGTTGATAGAAGTTCATTACGATTCACAAATGTCAGACTCATTTAGTTTCGAGTTGGATGTAACCAGATTGGTCGGAGCGCTATTATTTCTGAAAGGATGTTCATTGTCCATGTTTTGTTTCTGGTAGATAGGTTGTGCCATTTTTATGAGGCTTTTAGGGTTCTTAAGCCATCTGCACTTGACTTTACTGATTGGTTTTTGATTTTGTTGTTTTTACTGGAAGTACTCGTAATTGGGGATTTTCTCTAACGAGGGATAAATCTTGTGGGATTTGAGTAGCCGGTCAATCGGTGCAGTGCAGCAACTATCCCACAAGATTTTTCCTGCATTAGAGAATTTCTGATCATAACATCTTATGCTGATTGCTGCCGATGGATATCTGGTACTGCGGTCTAGTACTCCACTTGTAGGTGAGAGGTTTTAATTCATATTAATAACGTGTTATTATAGTTGTCCCATTGTGTCACCAAATCCCCACCGAGAACACCATTATGTGAAAGATGCTTGTTCTCATTCGTTTTGCTTTGTTGATTATGTCATTGGTTGGGTAATTGTAGTTACCAGATGAATGCAAGGAATGTCTTAATGTCTTGATAAGGTCAGGTTTTTATTATCAAATAATGAATCAAGGTGGTTTGCCCCCACTCCACGATATCTGTTGATATCTGTGCAACACGGTTCGGTTGATGACAAGAAGTCCATCAAGTGTTCGACACGTGTTGGTTGATGACAAGTCCACCGAGTGTTCGGCGAAATGCTTTAATGAATAAATTGAAATCTTTTGAGCGCTCTGCTTTCTGTTTCTGTAAAAAACTTAGACCTTTTAACACTGACACTTCCAAATATTTGAATATTGAATCAGCCACTATTCACTTATTTGGTTATTGAGTAGTAGGATGTCCAAATTATTACCTGCTATTACTCAACATTTGTTTCTTTCATCTTTTCTCGGCTAATCAGCAACTCTCATCTATCGGAAGTCCGGAAGCCGTCCTCCATTTTTAGGGCACTTCTCAAGTCTTTACGTATATAATAGATACTCTCTTGTCATGAATTCTTCATGTGCCTTGAGCGTATATTAGATGAGTGATTTACGTTTCCAACATGTGACAAATATTTATCGTACATGTGACATACTTGGAATTATGTCTTGGTTGTACAAGAGAATTTCTCCTGACATAGGGCAGGACCAAAATTCAGTGTTTTCATTATTCTGTGAGTAGTGTCTTATAAATGGCGTGTTTAAGCATCTTTATCCAAGCTTTTCTCTAAGGATTAGGATTCTCTCCTCCTCTTTCCATCTGTTCCTCTCACATTCTCTATTTTGTCTTTCTCTTTCTATAAAAAAATGGTATAAGATGTTGACGTTGTTTAACCGTAACCGTTCAAACTGGAGGGGAGGGAAGAGGAGGGAAAAAAAGAGAGAAGAGAATCCTAGGGAAGAAAAAAGAGAGGAAGAGAATTATACTCCTTTCTCTAATTGTGCGGTTCGGGTCAGCCCGAAAATAAAAGTGGACTTGCTACTTCTAATTTTTAAAACCTCAAGTGGAAGGGAACTCATTCTACATTTCATCACTCTAATGGCGACCAATACTTCTCCACTCTGAGGGATAATTATGTGAAGAAATTATTTTAATTATTCATTATTTAAGCGAGTACTCTACATGTCATAAAATAAGTGAAGAGACACAAAAAAAAAAAAAAATTTTTTTTACTTATATCATAATATGTGAAGTACCCGTTGAATACCCAATATTTAAAAAAATCCCTCCATTACGTGGCATGTTGCTATTGCCCGATGAGATCAGGCCCAAGCCCTCAAGTATTCAAAACCAAGATTTTGTTTTCCAATTGAGTTCCAACGTGAATGATGAAATGAAAGGTGATGAACCCTTTTGTCATATTCCTCTTTCATCACCTTCATATATCAGTTACGTGGGGTCTTAAAAATCCAAGCTAACCATTCGATCCAGCTACCACCTAAAGTTTTCTTGTGCTTTTTGGTAAAAAAAGATATTATTATGTACAACGGATATGGTCACCCACCCACGTTATAAGTCCACTCAAGGTATATACAAAGGAAACCTCTTGCATTCGGTTCAACCAAAATAGGCACGCATAGACTTGAATGCATGAAATATGTGACATAGCATGCACTGCTGTATCTAAGAAGGGTTATAAGTTGTATACAATTATGTGTCTATCACTTGTCACATTTACATAGTTATATACGATTTGCAATAGAAGAAATTCTCTCAAAATATAAGACATCATCCATCTATAGTAGCTATATCTTTATACAAACGATAGTGAAAGATGAAAAATTAAATCTAAGACCTCAAATGCATTAACAAACGTTCGTTATCACTTGAGCTTAAAGCTTTTTGCACCACTGTTCCATAATTTTAGTAACAAAGTCGAGGAGCAGGGCAAAACAGTCCTTTGACCAAAAAATGACAAAAGAAGCTACCGGATGCAGTACTACTCCCCGCAGGCATTTCACCTGGCGATGTTTAAATGGCGGGACCCGCCAGAAGGAAAGATAGCCGTTGAGAAGGGAGGAGGAGCCATTCGAACTTCGAAGCAATAAAAAAGACCCCAACTTCAACAAGTTCAATTCAACCTTCCCACCTCCTCCTCCTCCGTCCACGAGATCATCGAGATGTTCAAATCATTATACAAACATATATATATATATATATATATATATATATATATAATGCATGGAGAAGAGAAATATAAAAACCCTAGCTGGATGAAGATTCTTTTCGGATCTTCTTTGTGAAGATCTTAGAGATCTTTACATCCTAACCGTTCATCGTATATCGTGCGATCAGTTTTCGTCAAATGTTATTTATGTTTAATTTTAAATAAAAAAATTCAAGTAATTTTTTATTACACGATGTACGATGAATAACTAAGATGTGAGAATTCTTAAGATTCCCGCCGTTTGGATCCGGATAGGATCCAAATCCACCCTACCCTAGCCAATGCCATGTATGAATTCAGCAATCGAAAACTAGCCGTTAGGCCTTCTGTAAGGAAGAGAGCGTCTGCCACCCACATGAATTGTCTCTCCACCGAATACAAACAGCAACTCTCTCTCTCTCTCTCTCTCTCTCCACCGAATACAAACAGCAACTCCCTCTCTCTCTCTCTCTAAAACTCTGAGAACCCTCACGTGCCCTGTCTTAGTCGTCTCTAAAACACACAGCTCTAGGATCTCAGTCCTCCCAATCCCACCAACTTCTTTTTCTCTTGTTCCATTCCCTCCCTCTCTCTCTCATCACTCTCACTTTCTCTCTCTAGAATCAAACATAAACAGTTCGCCATTGTTGGTGCACTGTTTCTGACCATGGACAGCAAAGGTCAGAACTTTCCCGCATTTTTCGACTACCCATCTCAAAATTGGAGCCGGATTTCCCACAAGAAGAAGGAAAAATGGAAGTTTCTTCTTCTCCAACCCAAGTGCGCCCACTTCCTCCTCTTTCTCCACCTCCTCCTCTCCTTCTTCCACCCGGCCCGGCCCGAAATCTGGGACGGCGTCATTGTCACGGCGGCGGACTACCAATCCCTCCAATCAATCAAGCACGAGCTCGACGACCCAAAGGGGTTCTTAAGGAGCTGGAACGACAGCGGATACGGAGCCTGCTCCGGCGGATGGGCCGGAATCAAGTGCGCTCAGGGGCAGGTGATTGTGCTCCAGCTTCCCTGGAGGGGGTTAGGTGGCAGAATCTCGGAGAAAATCGGACAGCTCCAGGGGCTGAGGAAGCTGAGCCTCCATGACAACCAGATTGAAGGGCCAATCCCTCAATCTTTAGGGTACCTTCCAAGCCTCAGAGGAGTTCAATTATTTAACAATAAGCTTTCGGGTTCAATCCCAATTTCTTTAGGGTTTAGTCCTCTGCTCCAAACCCTTGATCTTAGCAACAATTTGCTCATTGGTAAAATCCCAGGCAGCGTTTTTAACTCCACCAAACTTTATAGGCTCAATCTGAGCTTCAATTCGCTTTCGGGTTCTATCCCGGATAGTATCTCCCACTCACATTACCTCACATTCCTTGCTTTCCACCACAACAATTTATCCGGCTCGATCCCGAGCTCTTTAGGCCAGTTGAATGAGCTTCAAGAGCTTCAACTTGGAAATAACCAGTTCAATGGAGCTATACCGAATGAAATAGGGCGGCTTTCGAGAGTTAGAATGTTAGATTTTCCTAACAATGCCATCAATGGAAGCTTGCCTTCTAGCTTCTCCAATCTCTCCTCGCTAATCCAGCTGAATCTAGAAGGAAACAATATCGAAGGCGAAATCCCGGAAAGTCTTGGAAGTTTGAAAAATCTTTCTGTTCTTAACTTGAGGAAGAACAAATTGCAGGGTCCAATTCCTGAAGCTCTTGGCAACATTTCGACGCTTACCCGCCTCGATTTGTCGCTGAATAATGTCGGTGGTGAAATTCCAGCTTCTCTTGCTGGTTTATCACATCTTGTTTTCCTCAATGTTTCTTACAACAACCTCTCTGGTGCTGTCCCCGCTCCTCTCTCCCAGAAGTTCAATTCGAGCTCCTTCGTCGGGAATGTTCAGCTGTGCGGGTACAGTGCTTCTACTCCATGCCCTTCCAAGGCACCGTCTCAGAATGTCCCGGCTCCAGGCCCGGAGACTGCGAAGCGCCGCCGCAGACTTGGTACCAAAG